CTGACGCCTGAGCTTGAGAAAGTCCACCCTGGCTCCATTCTCGACGTCGAGGGATTCTGCGGCCTGTGCCTCCCTGAAGTGCACAAGAAGCTCAGCAAGACACCCAGTGGTTAAACGGATGAGCTGTTTGGGGACAGGGTGGGGCAGGGTCCAGAAGAACCTTCCAGTTCTCTCAGCCAGAGGGGTGGGGACAGGTCCATGACACAGCCTCAGAAGTAGTGGGGAGGAGGGAGACTGAAATGATCAGTTTTCATGAAATTTTCCCTAACTTTTACACTTTTGCTTTTCATTAAGATGCCCTTTCATCTCCCAAGAAACGTAGAACATTAAAAATAATCTTTAGAATCTTTTAGCAGGTGATTCCAAACACACATTACCTGCCTGCTGACCCCTGCCCTGGTGCGCTGGCATTTCTTCGAAGGGTGAGGCCCTGCTTGCCCCACGCGCCCAGAACAACGCGCTCAAGTCGTGTTGTCTTTAGCAAGTCATCCAGCGCCCTGTTCCCTGCCCGTTCAAGAAAAGTCTGTACCCTGTTCCTTAACGTCCTCACATCACAAACATCAGAGTTAATTCTTAAAGAAAGCAAAAGCCAAACCGCACGAATGTTCTAGAATTGATGACGTCCACTTACATGTCATTTTAAAGAGCACGTTCAGTGTGAGTGACAGGTTGAAGAGAAAGAACGTATGACTGTTCCATGTTGAACTCATGGCATTTTCTTCCCTTGGATTCCGCTTCTCATCCTCTCCACATCTCTTTCGATAAATGGGTCAGACACCATCGGCCCGTTTTACAGTCGAGGCAATGAGGGGTTAAGTGCCTGGCCACCGCCAGGAACCAAGGTGAGAGCAGGACGTGAAGCCTCCTGTTCAGATCTGAGGTTCATTTGACCTCCTCCTCATGGCCGAATTGCCACCTCAGATACTACCTTTTTGGTCTTGGCTGTAAAAATAGGGTAATATCATATCTATAAAAGGTGGTCACTCTTAAAGCTGAGATTTCGTCATCTCAGGAATCAGAGGCCTGCGTGGTTGGGGCATAAATATGCTTTATATGTTTAGCAAAGTTTTAGAAAACAGTCACCAACCAGGGGGTTGGGGGTGGAGGGGAACCAGCCCTTTATGAAGCAGAGGGAAAGTCTGAGTCATCCTGACCTAGGATGTGGACTTTGGTCAGTGAATCTGAAGGAGGAAAACATTTCCAGATCCACTCTGGTTCAGTACAATACTGGACAATTTTTACGAGTTCCTCTTTACCGTATTACTATGGGCTATTTTCTTCACGGTGCTTCCAAAAGATTTTTTAATTGATTGAAATGAATCATCACCATTGGAAACTTGTGAATATTTTTCCTATCACAGACGTAAATTCTTTGAAAATTATTTTAAACTGTTTTTTTCAGGGGGAAAATCCACGGTGATGCTCTAGATTTAGCCTTTTATGACTGATAGAAACTTGAAGATGCTGAAACCATGCCATTAATGTGCCATTTGCTTCCTTCTACTTGCTTGACACACAATACATACCAGGAAATGTTGCCGTTGTTATTGTAGGAAAGTAAATATTAGGCTCTTCATATTTTGAATGTCAGTGAAGTTTTCTTTAAAAAATCCTATGCCAGTATTCACACATTTTGACCGTAGAAAACATGATAAATGAGTTTTCCTCTATTTCTTGGTCGTCATGTGGCAAAATGATTTACTGCTACATCTTCAATTCTTAGCATAGTGTCTGTCTGGCATATAGCTGGTACTCAGTTCATGCTGATGGAATAAATTTGTATGCTAGTTAGGAGGACATGAGAGCAGAGTTTTTCTTTACTAAAAGACATGAGCAAAGATTTTTCCTACTTTAAAAAAGTCTCCTAGAGCAAGTCTCAGATGCATTTATGATCGTGAGACTCCTTTCTAGCCATTTCTAATCAGGGAACCAGGTGAGAAGAGCCAGGAGCTGCCAAGGGTAAGGAGGACAGTGCTATCCAGACAGATGCTGTTACAGCCAGAGCTGTAAAATGTAGAGGGGTCTTGCTTGTTAGGACACTTGTTTGGTCTTACCTACAAGGAATTCAAATGCCAAAAATTATTACTTTGGGCGTGGGAACAACCTCTGAGTACACATTCACACATTCAAGCTAAGATTGGGCTTAAAGTGCTTCCTGATGGTGACATTTAATTCTAAAAATGGGGCAGTCTGCAGTCCACCTTCTAAATCTAACATTACAATCATCTTGGGGTATTTTTATAGTCAACTAGATGAAAACATAATAGGATAAGCTAGGTCAATTTAAGTTTCTGGAAGCATCTGTGTTTTTATTGTGTTCAACTCTAGAAATTTTTTTGTGTGAACTGAAGCAAATGAACATTTCTGTATTATTTAGGATATTCCAGAGAGGAAAATACTTGACAGAACAGAGTTTTGAAAAAGCAAACTTCTAATATTTTTCCAAACTAAGGGAAACTTTCACAAATCAAAAAGAGGACAAGATATGTGAGAATACTGTGAAACCTTCTGTGAGGGGTAACCTGTGTTTTTAAGGACAAGTGTTGGTATTATAACACCATTATCCCCACCCCCTGGAGAAAGGCAAGCGTAGTTCCATTGTAGGGTATTTTTTGTTTATTTATCAGAAACATTTAAATTTAATAAAATTTATTTTTGAGAAGTTAGAGGCGTAACTCTGTGTCATAAATGATATTCAATTCTGTCCCCAAATGTATCTGGGCACATATTCAAGCCTTAACGTTTCATAATCTTGATTAATGTTCTTTCTTAACTATCTTGCCATTACTACACGTGATACTACATGAAACTATATAAACATATTTACCTCTTGTGTATAGTGTATAGTTTCTAGATGTTGATATCAATAAAACATTACATATGGTATCATACGTTAACTTAAATTTGTACCAGTGTAACCAATAACCCAGTATTATGTTTAGGAGCCAAACTCGCAGATCATACTGATCTTTATGAACAATATACTATGTATTATTACTGAGACCTGCCTGCCTTTTTCCAATATTTACAGCTATGTAAAGTTATTAGGTGCTGCTTTAGCTTTAGCTTGGTTCTCACCTTATAGGAGAAAAAATTATAAATACATTATCATGATTAGTTTTTTGTCTCTTCTTTGGCTTTTGTTTTGTGGGTAGTGTTTTGTTTTTGTTTTTGTTTTTTTTGGAAGGACTTGGTCAGGGGTTGGAAGAGAAAAGAAATAGTGGACCTGTTCTTGCATATAAATATGATACTAACCCTTTCCTGCTTTTGCTTTTTGTTAGCTCTTTTCTATCATTTATTTTAAGGGCTTCATCTCCCCAGTGCAGCATTTTCTAAAATTGAAGAGGAAAATAAGTAATAGCGGAACCTAGGAAAAGAGCTCAAAGTAGCAAAATGGACTGAGTGGAGGGGTCACAGTGTCATTCAATACTACTGTGAGCTTATGTCATTGCCTAAACACAAATCTGCATTCATTTCAATAACTAGGGAAATATTTAACCATTCAAAACCTCATTCATATGACTAAATGAGAATTCTCATTGGTACAGCATTTTTCAAAATAAGTAGAACTGACTTCCCCCACCTGTATATTATTTCCAGAATTACATTCTTAAAATGTTTAGACTTGGTACACGCACACTAATTGAAGGACATACTTTGTGTTTATGATGATGCCTCTAGTAAGTTGTGTTGGACAGATAGTGTCTGGGAATATCATCCCCTATAATAGAAATTTTAAGTTCTGATTGTTTGGTTCTATAGAGTGGGTAGTTTTTCATCCGTGGAAGTGACCTCTAAGCTTAGATTTATTTGCTGCCTCGTTTTTATTTTTAAAAATGTATATTGATTGGGATGAATGTGTGTTACTAATGTTTATAGAGTATGTGGATAGCACATGGAGCACTTGTGCCTGTAGAGATGGATCATACCATTTTATAGGGTAATCCTCCAGGAAAATGGCTCTAATCTCTAAATCAATTTTATTCTATATGAAAACCATTGAGACTTCTACTGGACCCAGCTTCTCATCAAGTAACTCTCTTTTCTATTCCAAGCACTTGTCTGGTATCTTTAAGCAATTCATTTTTGGATGCTTTGTAGAAAAATGAGCTAACGAAAATTTCTACATGCAATTCATGTTGGGTGGGGGTAATTTTCTCTCCACTAAAGAAATTAGTGCACAGAAGACATTTTTTGGGAAATTTCATAAATCCCCGTTTTGGTGAATCAGTATAGCATACTAGCTAAGGCTGTGAATCCTGGAACCAGATGACCTTGGCTTTGATACTGCTAACTTTGCAACCTTGGTAAGATGATTTCATTCCTCCTTTCCTCGATGCCTTCTTCTGTAAAATGAAACCCTGATATTACTGTACATAGGGGTGTTATAAGGAATGAGTTCATACATGCATAGTACTTAGAACAGAACTCTTGGTAAAGTTTAGCTACTATTACTTTTATTCATATGTATCATGTAAGATACCTTTTGCTGGAAAAGCCACAGCTTTATTTCATATTAGTGACATTTCTTTGCATATGTAGGTAGAGCTTTGTCGTGTATATTGGCACGCTGTCAACGCTTTTAAAAGAAGGATCAATAGCATTGACTTAGAGAGACAATGCCACAGTTATTTCAAAATCCTAGTCAATAAGGCAGTTTTTATCTGCTGTATTTATGCACTGTTAGTCCCGTTTGCTCATGATGAATTTTCATTACTGAAAATGCTTTAACATGGCTACCACACGTAATAACATAGTTTATGCAAGTCTTAAGAGTTGTTTTTCTTTAATTCCGTGAGCGACCTTGCTTCTGAGAGGGACAGTATTTATTCCCTTCCATTGTCAGTTTTGGAGCAACGCTCCAGGGATCTAACCCATCCAAGAAAGAAGATTATCAGATCCCAAGGGACAGGTCGGCTTCAGGAGGAAGTCATGCGGCGTCAAGGCTTTCGGACATAAAAGATCCCCTGTTCACCGTTTCCCATTCATTTGCTTTGCAGCTCGCAGTACCCCACAATGACGAATGGACCCGGTTTGCCAGGACCCTCGTGGAGATTCGCGCTAACAGAGCCGACAGCGAGGAGGAGGGCGCCGTGGAGCTGGCGGCCTAGTGGCAGGAGCCGCCCCAGCCGGCCCACCGCCGCCTTCTAGAGCTCGGCGCCCGCGGTCATCGAGCCCGCTGCGTCCAGTGTCCCTTCAGTATCAGTATTGCCGTGACGTTCTGGGTGCCATAGTGTGCCAGCCCTGCTCCAAGTGTTCCCAATGTATCCCACCCTGCCCTCCACGAACCTGAAACTCACCAGAGCGTTTCTATCTTTATATTTCTGTCTCAAAAATAAGGTGGGGGGAGGACCTTTACGGGTTTAGTTGTTGCCTTTTAACTACTTAGTAGCTGTATTTAATAGCTGGAAACCTCTGGTTAAATTTGTGCTTACATGCACTTCTGGCATAGTCCTATTAAATCCATATGAAGCCAGATATGATTAGGTGCAGATGTGGTGTGCTCCATGATATGGTACAGGGCCAAAGACTTGAGATGTGGTGTTTTACATGGTGACTCACGTTATGAATGGATTTACTAGAAGAACATTGCTGCTCCTTATTTATTGTGGTATGCTGCATGGAACATATTTATTTGAAAGCATTAAAATAAACGATCCTAGAGCATGTGCATAATGAGAGGACTGTATTGTCTCTACTGCTGTTGAGGTTACGTTAAGTTCCAAATAACAATTACAGTATGCCGGTTCCACTGAGGACATGAAGTCTTTAGAGGTTTGTTGCAGTGAACGAAATGAATTTTAATGCCTATTATTTCTAGGCACTTGAACAGTATTTCAAATATAGTGGACCATTGATACTTGTCATTCAAGCTAATACAGTCTGACAAAAGTCTGTGGTTCCTGAATATGACACCGGTATTGCCAATAAAATGTTCCAAACCAGGTCTACGCCAGCGTGGAGAAATTCTGCGCTTGGGGGGAAGAAAGCCCGATTAGAATTCTGCAGTGACAAGGGAGTGGGGGCGATGCGTTGGGGCCCTGGGGAAGATTGATAATGAATTACAGGCAGCCAACCTGGCTGGACTGAAACCAAAACTGGCCTTGTTTTTATGAGGGAATGTGGGTGGTTTGCTGGCAAGCTCTACCTTATCTCTTCACCAGAGCAACTCTTGCCCAAAAGAGTAAGAAAAACAGGTTAAGATGCACATGTACAAAATGTTCTACAGATTGCATTTTTTTCTTTCTTATTCACACCAGGAAAAATATGTTCATTACTATTGGACGAGGAAATATGTCTATAAACAACTTTAATGAAAATTTTTTTCAAAAAGTCATTTCATGCCTAAAGAGAATTAAAATAAATAGTGGTTGAGTCATGAAAAGCATTTGAAAACAGGCTTTCAGCTTTTTAGGAAGAGAATTTCCATGGTCCTTTGTTGGTAGGGATTCCTTGACTGTGAGATTTAAAAAATTTTTACAATAACCATATCATTTTCTCCAAGTGCCCCATGGTATATAAATACTGGAATTCTTCGTAAACAGAAAATAAAAATTTAAAGATTAAATACGAGTGTCTTATAAGGTTTAGAAGCAATTTAATAAAAAGTATTGGGGAAAAAAGTTTCTCAAGCATACACTAAAGGACTGAGAACAAACCAGTCACCATGAGTTTCTATTATAGACTAAACGCTAAATGATTCAATGAGCGAAGACTGAAAAGTACAAAGGCCAGAGTCACTAGTAGTAATGACAAGAGTTTATACATGTCCCATGGTATTGGAAGTACCAGTGGTGGGAAAGGATGTGATGTGGAACTTATGGCCAGCCCCAGTAGGGAAATTACAACAGCGGCCCATGGGGAAGGAAGGCAGGCCATGCTATCTGAAGCAAAGAATTATGTGACTTTTGACAAAGAGCTTTAGGCATGTTGCTGGGTCCTAATAGAAGTACAACTTTTCACCGCGAGATACAAAGATACCAGACATCCAAACAGCCCATTTTAAGTTGAGCCTTGTCAGCCTCCCCAAGATGTAAAGTTGGGCAGCCCCAGCTGAAACCCCTTGTAAGATGGAAACGGTGCATCCAGATGTACGTCTGAGTAGGACCAGATGCATGAGTAAGCTGCAAGAACAAGGAGCTCAGAAGCCCAGTGTCATCCAAAGTGACTTTACCAGCACCCCTTTCCCGTGACTGTGTGGTCACATGTTCAGAGGGAGGTTCTGTTTGATCAGCTGAAAAAGAAGGAAAACCTCATAGTTTGGTTTATATGTGGGTTGGCTCAGTTTGTGGGAGAAAATTAAAAGTGGATGACAACTATATTATCAAGGATGACCTTGGGAGATAATAAAGAGAGAAAAACTTTCCAATAGAGCGGTGAATTGTGCACTTGATCATCTCTGTGTGGAAGGAGAAATAAGTGCATATAGTTACTACCATCCTAACCCAAGCCATCAGCATCTCTCGGGGATTCCGGGAATAACCTCCTAACTTATCTCCCTGCTTCCACCTTCCACCTCTTCAGTCTCTTCTCAGTATAGCCACTTGAGTGATGATGCTGTTACAAGATTGAACTGCTCAGCTCAAAACACACCAAATGGCTTCACATCCCTTGGAGTAAGAGTCAAAATCCTTACAGTGGCTCATGGGCACTGTATGATTTAAGTCTCTCTCTGATCTTATATCCAGTCACCCTAATCTCTACTAATCCACTTCAGGCGCTCCAACCTCACTCTTGCTTTGACACAACAGCACTTCAATCCCATGGCCTTTGTACTAATGGTTTCTTCTTTCCAGAATACTGAGAGCACTGAGTTTATAAAACCTCATGCACGTGTGTTCAAAATTCCACCCTTTAATTAGGGTCATTCTTCTGATTGGTTGATTTTTCAACTAACTTTTTATCTGTGAAAGAAAGTTTCCCTAAAGGCCTAATGTCAGTGTCAGTGTGAAGAAGCTATAGTTTAAAACAGCAACCACAGCTGGAGATGAGTTTAAAAGCATCTGATGTCCCCTATTAGAGAGAGCACTGACAAAAAAAGAGAAAAATTATATGTAGAATTAAAATGAGAAAATGTGTTTTTGTATTTTTATTAAGGTACAATTTACATACAACAAAATGCGCTTATATGAAGTTGTTAGTTTAACAAGTTTTAATAATTATGTACACTCTGGTAACCACCAGACAGAACAAGATACAGAACATTTTAATAAGCACAGGAAATTCTTCCATGACTCTTTCTAGCAATCATTTTGATTTTTGTCAACATAGATTAGTTTTTCCTACACTGTTCTTAAACTTCATATAAGTGGAATCATATAGCAAGTCCTATTTTATGCCTGGATGATTTTGCTCAGTATAATTTTTTTGACATTTATTCATGTGCTAAAATGTTCCAGTAATAATTACATTTTATTGCTGAATGGTATCCCATTTTAGGATTATACTACAGTTTGTTTATTCATTTACCAGTTGATGAGCATTAGTGTTATTTATAATTTTAGGCCTTTTTGTATAACGTTGCTATGAATATTCTTATACAGTTATTTTTGTAGGCATATTTTTTGTAGATACATACTGATTAGAATTTCTGGGTCATTCGGTAATTCTGTTTCACTTTAGAAGAAACTGCAGTAGAATTCTGCAACCTGGTGGTACCGTTTTACATTTCCCTCAGTAAAGCAGCAGAATTCCAGGTGCTCCAGAGACTTTCCAACAGCTGGTATTGGTCTTTTTTTTTTTTTTTTTAAATTGGTTTTAGAGATAGAGATAGAGATGATAGAGATAGAGATAGATAGAGAGAGAGAGAGAGAGAGAGATGAGAGAGATGAGAAAGAGAGAGATTTGTTATTTATGCATTCATTGGTTGCTTCTTGTATGTGCTCTGACTGGGAATTGAACCAACAACCTTGGTGTATTGGGATGATGCTCTATCCAGATGAGATACCCAGCCAGAGCCTGATCTTTTTAATTTTAGTCATTTTAGTGAGTATGAAACAACATATAGCTGTGGTTTTAGTTCGAATATATTTGATGACTAATGATTTTAAGCACCTTTTCAAGTGCTTATTGGCCATTCTTACATGTCTTATCTTCTGGGAAATAGTTGTTCAAATATTTTGGCCATTTAAAAAAATTGGATTTCTTTTATTATTAATTTAAAAAAGTTCTTTACATATTCTAGATATAAATTCTTTGTCAGATATTTGTGTTGCTATTTTTCTCCTATCTATGGCTTGGAACTTCATTCCCTTAATAAAATACTTTGAATGGAGAAATTTTTTTTAATTTTGTTGAAGTTCAATTTACCCATATTTATCTTTTATACTTAGTATTTTATGGTTCTTTCTAGTAAAACTTTGCCTGCCACAGGTCACAAAGATACTACCTTATGTTTTCTTCTGGACATTTTATTGTTTTAACTTACACACTTAGGTCTATGATAGATTTTAAATAATTTTTGTGTATGGAATAAGTAGTAGTCAAAACTGATTTTTTTAAACATATGGATATTTAGCTGTTGGAAATATTTGCTGAAAATGTTATTTTCTTTTTGACCATTTAATTGAATTAGCATCCTTGGTAAAATGTCAATTGACAATAAACATATAGGTATATTCATAGACCACTATTCGATTTCATTGAGCAATTTGTCCTTATACAACACTACATTGTCTAAATTGCTATAGCTTTTACTAAGTCTTGGAATCATGTAGTATAAGTTTTCCAACTTTGTTACTCATTTTGAAAGGTTATTTTAGCTATCTAGGTCTTTCGTGTTTCCACATGAATTTTAGAATCATTATGACATTCTTAAAAGAAAACGATACTGCTTGAATTTCAATTGGAATTTTATTTATTCTATATACCAATTTGAGAAAATGGGCATCTTAAACATGCTTAATCTTTCAATATGTGAGCAGGGTATATTGTTTCATTTATGGAGCCTTCTTTATCTCACTAAAGTTTTTTAGTGTATAAGTTGTACACATGATTTTTTTTTTTTTAGATGTATTCCTAGATATTTAAGTTATTATTTTTTTATTTTACTTTTCCAGTGTTTTTGCTAGTTTTCAGAAATAAAATTAATATTTGTATATTTTGCAGCCTTGCTAAATATACTTATTATTTCTAGTAGATTTTGCCCTACTTGGATTTCATGGTGCTACTTAAATAGGCAGGTTAGTGATTTTCATCAAGTTTGGGAAGTTTTTCAGCCATATTTCTTCAGGTATCTTTTCTCTGTCTCCTCTCATCTGAAATTCCCATTATATGTATGCTGACATGCATGATGGTGCCCACAGGTCTGTGTTCAATTTTCTCCCTTGTTTATCTTTTTGTTCTTCCAACTACATAATTTCAAATGACACTTCTACACATTTGTGTCTTCTGCCTATTCAACATTGCTATCGAGCTCTTCTAGTGAAATTTTCATTTGAGTTATTGTGCTTTTCAACTCCAAAATTTCTATTTGGCTTTAAAAAAATAATTTCTAACAATAATCTCTATTTGGTGAGACATCATTCTCATACTTCCCTTTAGTTTGACATGCTTTTCTTTAATTCATTGAGTATATTTATAATAACTGATTTAAAGTCTATTAATTGCCACCTCCTTAAATGCCTGGAACCAAAAACCTCTTTCAGTCTTTGCCAAAAGGCTCATGTATGTGCTGAGGTGCCCTTTCACCGCTCAGCCAGGCAGTTTGCAACTCTGCCTTAGCCTTCACTTCCTGTTTTTTCAGAGCCTCAAGGTCAGCAGAAGTTGAGAGCTTAGGGTCTTTTCAGGTCTTTCCTGAGCATGTGCACAGTTCTGAGTATGTGTGCGTGTTCTCCCAGATTACCAGGAATATGTCAGTTATTCAAAGCCATTACAGACATCTCATTCCCTAGCTTGTGCTCTCAAGTATTGGGTTAGTCTGTTGTTTGCCCTAAATGTTACTTATTACC